GAGAGCGTCGCGACGAGCGTCGTTACGGCGAGGAATCGGAGCAGAGGAGCACGAGCGTGGTGGAGGTCGTCGGCGTCGCGACGCTCAATTTTAGATTCGTGGTTGGTTTGGAGGGGTGCGCCGACGTGGGTGGCGGAAACTGGGAACACGCCCAACTGGCGGCACGCGTGTGCGCGGTGAGATGATACGAGTCGTGGTCGTGGGTGGTGTGCGATAATAGGTTTTTGGAGAGGTGGGGGTTGAAGGGGAAGAGTAATGGACGTTGGCTGCTGGATTTTGAATTTGAAAGTGTATGATAATTGTTGATATTGATTTTAGAAATAGAAAGAGATAATTTGTTTAATCATTATTACGAATGTGTTTAATAATAATTTGTCGGTTGGATGATTAGAAGAAATGGTAATTGGGCTTTGAAGCGAGACTTTGTTTGTTTTTCTATTGTTAAAAAAGTTTGCGTTTCTTTTTATGGGGGAATAATAATTGTTTCTTCTTATTTCAAAGAAATTTTTATTGAGAACTTGTTAATAGTCTGATATTTTTCTCTTGAATCTTGAAACTTTACTCGTTCAATCATATTATTATTAATATTAGATAGTTTGATCTTCTCTTTATTCCAAGCTTTTACCAGAACATTTATTTTCAACTTTAAATAATAAGATGATTTATTTAATGAATCGTGTTATAATAATTTGTTTGATAATTGTAAATATTCCTAATTAGACTTTGAAGTGTCTATTGTTAAAAGTTTGCATTTGTTTTTATAGGAAAATAATTGTTTCTTTCTATTTCAAAGTAAGAAATTTTTATTGAAAACTTGTTGATAAATAACCTGATATTTTTCCCTTAAATTAAATCTTAAAAATTCACTCGTTCAATCATTATTATTACATTAAATACTTAAATTTTTTCTTCATTCCAAGTTTCCATCAAGACATGTTTAAACTTATTTTCAACTTTAAAATTAATAATTAATCTGATTAAAAAAATATCCATAAAAATTATAAACCATAATTACACATTAAAAAAAAATCCAACACCCTATCCTTCAAATTCTAGCAGAAGAAATCGGAAAAATCGATTAAAAATTTCCCCTTTTCCTCAAATATCTCGACTCAAACAGCCACCAGATACTTGTTAAAATCATCTCTACTCTTGGCAATCTTTCAAGCTCTTCGAACTCCTCAACGATTTTTCCTATCTCTTAGGGAAAAACTTGGGGAAAACTGGAAATATTCTACTTAAAACGCGAAGTTCTACGCGCCTTCTAAACGTTCGCCGTCCTCCAAGAAACATGAGGATCGATCGAAAGAAAAATTTCCTCCAATGTCTCCATCCAAATTTCTGCCAACATCCGCGTTTCCTTCGCGCCACGGTTTTCGTTAAATCGCGTTGCCCACTCCAAAAGTTAGGGGAGCTTTCCACCTTGGTTGTTCTATCAGGATCGCATGAACGCGTGGTGCATATAAATACATCGCGACGAGCTTACGAGCTTTCAAAGCTTGCGGTCGGTAAGCGCCGCGACGCCGTAGCAGGGTA